ACTTTGTTCATCTAACCACATACGCGCGGTTCGCCCCTCGTCTGGCTTGGCTTATTATTTTTGTTTGGGCTATTTCGCTTAGCCTTTTACTGGCTGTGGTGGCTCATTTGGGCGCCTTTGCGCTTGTTGCCCAGCACTAAACTTTTGACACACAGTAACACGCACACACTCCCACACACACACACCCACACACACATCTTGTTGTTGTGGCAGGCACGCAATGTTGGCGACGACTGCCGGAAATGCCAAGCACAACGTTCCGAAAGCCCGAACAACAAAAATCAACTGTTGGCATGTTGACGATTCTCTTTGCTCCCCCCAAAACTCCGTCTCCTCATCAACTGCCAGCACTCCCCCCGCCCATGCTCTCCTCTACACATTGTCGTGTGCTTCTTGCTGTTTTTTTTTCTCTTTCTCTGCTTGAGTTTTTGGAATTTTTGCCAGCGTAATCACGATTAAACTGTCAACGGCATACTAATTAGATTTTTATTTTTATTACGCTATGACAGCGCCGCGTGACGGCGTCACCAGACGTCCTGCGTGTCCTACGTCTCCTACGTCCTTTGAGTGCCGCCTGTCCTGTCTGTCCCAGTCTGGTTGGGTCTGGCCTGGCCTGGTCCGATGTGGCCTGCAGGGTGCTCGCTGCTTAGCTGGCCCTGGCTCTGGCTCTGACTCTCTGCTCCCAATCCACGGCAGCCGCATTATTCGCTGAGGCGTGCGTGCCTCGCATGACCAAGTGACAGGCCAGCATCAGAGAGCTGGCTGTGTGCAGCGCGGTCCTGCTTCTGCTACTTTGTGATTTATGCCTTATCATATTTATGAAAATTATTGTTATTGATGGTATTCAATATTATTATGGGGCATAGGAAGGACACCATCTTACTGATTGATTGAAACATTAAGAGCTAAAAACTTTGCCACTTGCGCCAATTGATTTCTATACCCTATGAGCTGTGTTGCTGCAAAGGGTAGAATCATTTCTCTAAATAAAACTAATTAAGAATAGTTATTTCATAAATATATATTTATTCTTAAATTATTTTATCTCTAATTGGCATTCAGAATTGATTAGGGCATAAAATAAAAATAAACCTGTTGGCACAGAGTTTTATCAAATATCTATTATAAAATATTTATATAAAAAAATTACTAAAAATAATTTTTAAATATAATAATAATGATCAGAATGAATCCAAAAACATTTATATAAGATTTTATTAGATTTCAAATTGATAAAATTATCTAAAATCTGAATTATTAAAAATATACATTTAATTTATATGCCAGCCCATTTGCTTTAACTAGGGTATATTTCTCTACACTTCACTGTTGATTTTTCTTTTCTACTATTTTTTTTTTTTTTTTTTACTCATATTTTCATCGCCCCTTCAGCTGGGTTTTTATTTTATTTCTCTCGTTTTTGGTCAATTGTTGATTGTGTTGGGCTGTGTTTTTGTTCGGGGTCTATATTACTTCCAAGCTGTTGAATGCGTCATCGTTCTCAAGCAAAAAAAATATACCCCGTGCTGCTTGAGCCGTAGTCACCTGCCGGCGTTGCCACCTCGTCGCACAGTGTTTCTTTGTCGCTTGGCTTTTGTTCAAGTTTCGTTGTTTTTTCTGCCTCCCACTCTCCTTCTCCTCTATTTTTTTCATTAAGTTCTCACCGGTGTAGGAAGTGAAATGTTTTGTTGTATTTTGGGTTGCAGCTGCTGCTGTTGTTGTTGTTGTTGTTGTTGTTGTCGGTGCGTTGGTCCAAGTGCTAATGCGGCCAGACAATGGCGCCGGCTGTTTGAGGGCGTTGGGGGAGTGGCCCGTATTTTCCTAGCACACTTTTCAGCAAGCAGTTGAAAAAAAAAAAACAAATTTAATGAAAATGCGGGAGAGTAGTACATTTCTCTTGTTATTGTTGTTGTTGTTGTTGCTGCTATATTTTTTTATGCACTCTGCAAACGTTGCTGCCTGCCGCCAATTACAAATGCGCAAATATTTTTGCTTGCAATTTAAAATAATTATTGTATTTGCATGGCCAACAACCCAGCGGTGTTTGGGCTCGTGCTGATGTTGTTGTTGTTGTTGTTGTTCCTCGTATTATAGTTGTTTTAGTTGTTGGCCATTATGTGCACTATATGCTTTAGCCTTTTACAGAAAGCAAACCAACATTTCTGTCGTTGTTGTTGTTGTCGTTGTTGTTGTTGTCGTTTTTGACCACCCGTTGTAGTTATGAAGCTTTGTAAGCCCACATTTTGTGGTTTGCTTTTCAATTTATACACATACATGAACACACACGCACACACACATATATATGTACTCGGTCCAAGCTTCCTCCTATTACACTGCTGCTCACCTCACCTATGTATAAGGTATGGCTATTGTTTGGCTTTCGTCTCCCGTTTTGTTGGGTTGATTTTCTTTTTTTAGATTTTTGGTCTAAGCAGCTAAAAGCTTAAAGAAAATAATCCGACCAGCTCAACTTAAAAAACAACACACACGAAAAAAAAGAAGAAGAACATATAAAAGCCCTAAAAATTATTTATATCCCTTTATGGAGCTTAAAGAACACAGTGGAGTTTCTTTGGAGCACAGAGTTGGGTATTTAGTAAAGCTTACGAAATATAAATTCAAAAGGAAGCTAGTATAACCCCAGGCATGTTTATAAAATTTTAAAAATCTATTAAAATTCAAAAAGTTGTCACAAAATGTCATCAGAATGAGAAAATATGAAAAGAAATAAATGAATAAATATTTATTGAATTTAGAAAATCGTATCTTGTTTGTCTCCAACTTTTATGGGCTTTCGATTGAATTCCGTGACTTATTTACTGCTGAATAAATATTCATTTGTGTTGGCATTTATGCAAAAACAATAATGTAACATGGCCAAAACAAGTTTATTATTTTTTGCTGAATTGCATTTCAAGTTTATCGCAATGAATTAAAAATCATTTCGAGTAATAAAAAGCCAAATATTTAATCTCAAAGAAACTTTGAAGTAGT